ATATATATATATATATATATTCTTCAATGATATCTAAATTAGGATTGACTAATATTTTTGTTCCATAGAAAGTATTTTGATATTCTCACTATTTTTATAATTAGCATCATATTTTATAGGTTTTTGTTATAATAAATTGAGTTATTATATGATTATTAAATGAATGTATTTCACTTTTGAATCAAATTATTTAATTAAATAAAATTAATTTTTTAAAATACATATCAAATTTTAAGTATAATTTTATTAAATCATTAATATAAAAAGTAATATAGTGTTCTTATTAACTAAGGAAAATAATATTTCAAGAGTTGTTTGCTCTATCATACAACTATCATGATAAAAAAAAAATATATAGATATAATATTATATGGGTTACCAAAATAAGCCAAACATTACACATGTAACAAATCTATTATTTTATATTTGAGCACATTACATGACTTACTATAATTAAGGTTGCAAAGCCTACTAACTATTAGTGATCATTAACTTATACAAAGGATTATAATCCATTTTGTAGAATGAAAGCACAGTTTTATCATCAAGATATTGGTTATTGCATCATCAACTTGACGAATTAATTTAAGAAGCATGATTTTCCTTGGGACAAGCTTGTGAAGAGGCTACTACCATTTGCTCCTCAGAAATGCCAGCATTGCACATGTTAGCAAAAGCTCTTGTGTATTTCCTTCCATAGATTGACAATTTACCGCAATGGCTCTCGTAAGTTTTTATCTGCATGAAATTTATCACATGTACATGTATGTCATCTAGCATCATACCATACAAAGAGTGTGAACAATGTCAATTATCTATACATGTATATAAAAATATTCTTAATTTTCGGTATTCTTGTTTTTAGACAATTTTAACCATTTATAAAATTATTTTTTAAATATTATTTTTTCTTTGATTCTCTTTATAATCACTCACTCCTTTTACTAATTGCATATGATGTATTAACAGAAAGACACATGTACCTTCTTAATATCACTCACTTCTTTTACGAATACGAATTGCATATGTATTAACAGAAAGACACATGTACCTTTTACCCACTAGTTGATGAATAAAGTGCCTAAGAAATTTTATGGTCAATATACTTGTATCTAAGAATTTCTTCCCATAACCAATGAAGGTGGTAATAATTTATATGCAATCTATTATAATACTTACAAGGGTCTTGAAACAATCCCAATCATCGACAAGAGGCTGGCCTGGTGGACGAACATGGAGCAACATGGTGGAGCTATTATTCTCTTCCCCAAACAAGAGATCCCCTATGAGATGGAAAACACTATCTACATGCTTCCTATGTGCAATTTCATCATCCAACTCTTTTTGAGCTTCCAACTTCTCCTTAGAACCATTCGGGGCCTTTTGCAACTGAAACAATAAAGAAATAATTACTTCTGATCTTCTCAATTTTTAAAACTTTCATATGTTCAAGCTCAATGACAAAAGCAATGGAAAAAAGAAGAAGAATTCACATTTCAGTGTATGCAGGTTAGAGTAGTATGCACAAGATCTTATATTTGAATCTTACTAGAATGATTGTAATATTTTTGTACAAAAAGATTTAAAACTTTCATGTTCAAGTTCAATGACAAAAGCAGTGACAAAAAGGAGATATTCACATTTCTCTCTATAACATGAATGTATACAGGTTAAAGTAGTATATACAAGATCTTATATTTAAATCTTGTTATATTGGGAAAAATTCAAGTCCCACATCGACTAGAGATTAGGCAATTGAATAGTATATAAGTGGAAAGCAACCCTTACCATACAAGCCGGTTTTGTAGGGTTGAGTTAGGCTTAATCCACTATTCTAAGAGTTATAGTGTATTCAAGTCCCGTCATTAAAAAAGGGCCACCTACTATTCATTGATGCATGTGTCATAGGCATGAGGGGGTGTATTGGGAAAAAACCCAAGTCCCGCCTATCCTAGATCATTAAAAAGGGTCACCCACCATTTATCCACGTACCAAGCCCAATAGTGCTGGACGTGAGGGGGTGTATTGGGAAAAACCCAAGTCCCACATCGACTAGAGATTAGGCAATTGAATAGTATATAAGTGGAAAACGTATTATATCCAAACCATGTTGGATGAGAGACTATGTCTAGTTATAAAGGTTTTGGTTTTATCTTCTATTTCATTTGGCTTTCAATAATCTCTAGACACGTGAAGAGATAGATTACAATGGGTATTTTACATATATTGTAGTGTCTATCATTGAGAAGGGCATGAATGAATTTCCTGAGTTTATTTTCTTCTTAGTAGTACCAGTGTAGCCCTAATTCTCTCACTCATATATCAAATTCATTCTTTCTTGTAAAATACTTAGTGCGCTATAATACATCTAAGCGAAATGAAAACAATGTCTTTGTAACCTTTATAATCATTGTTGTGAGGTTGAATCTAAAAAGGTTTGTCTGTAAAACAATACTTGATTGAGCCTAAAAATGTTTGTTTAAAAAAAATATTTGGTTGTTAAGTCTGAAGAGACTTGTTGTGAAAAGAATACTTGGGTGATTGTTTGAAGAGATAAGTCAAAGAATACTTAGGGTCGAATCAAAAGTGACTTGTTGGAAGAATACTTGTATTTTTGTTGAAAGATAGTAAGACTCAATCTAATTAGATTGAGAAATAGATATAGTCTCGGTGGTTGAGACGAACTAGTATAAAAATATTTAATGTTTTGTCTGACTTCTCTTCATACTCCATCTAACTGGTTTTACTACTTTACTATGAAAAAGTACAAATTTTTGATACACACTATTCAATCTCTTGGTCTAAGGTTTTTCTTTTCTCTACAAAAGGTTTGAACATAAAACATGTACATTTATTTTTAAATAATCATATACATTTTTTTTAAAATTTTATCATTCAAATGCACTAGTGAAAAAGAGACTTTTTACGTCCGTATTTTCACGTCGAACCACAACATATCCGACGTAAAAACGACGCGGTGGCATTTTTGAAAATAACGCAAACTTTTTTACGTCAAACAACAAAGGGACCGACGTAAATTCAACAATCTACGTCGGACCTCAGCTACAACCGACGTAGATTTTTGAATTTACGTCGGACCCTTTGTCCTCCGACGTAAATTCAAGTTGAATTTTTGAATTTAAGTTGCGTAGCGCCTCTTTCTTTCCCATTCTTCACCAGATTTCCTTCCCGCTCTCCATGCTTCGCAGCCAACTGTAGGGTTGAGTTAGGCTTAATCCACTATTCTAAGAGTTAGAGTCATTGTAACTTTTTTGTACAAAAACATATCTAACCAAGAATTACCTCGAGCCAAAGATGGAGTAAAGGGGCATCTCGTTGTTTGACAAGTTTAGTTTGAGTAGTAGATGGTTCAAAGGATGATGCATTTCCAGAGCTGGTCGAGTTGCCATTAGGACTTGCCGGGTGTGCACCAATGAAGGTAGCTAGAAAATCGTTGCTGAATTTTGTATCTCCATATTGCGTCACATGAGAAGAGGCGTTAATATTACCAACTAATGTTCTTCGGCGAACCTATACACAGCTCACAAGAATTAACATATATTTTACATTCGATCAAAATTATTAAATATGTACTATATAGTATATACATATATTGGTTCAATTATGATGGCTTACGGTTTCATATTGTTGCTGTAGAGTTTCTTTCGTCATATCATTGTCGTCACTGATCCATAAACAAATCCAAACAATCAAGGAAATTTACATATGAGAATTGGATGAAGATTGACCTATGCAACTTTTCTATTAATTTTATGAGAGGCATTGAACAAACATAAACAAATGCCTTTAAAATAAAAATCTCAACAAATAAGGGTTTGAGGTGTATAAATTAATCATATAAAAGTATACACTGCACTAAATTATTTGTAGAGCATCTATTAGGAGAAGATAACCCCCCTTCTATATATGTAGAACTCGGTATTTTAAGAGATTAGTTTAAAAGAGATATTTTGGATTAATTCACGAAAAAGTAACTAATTATATGCTAGCTAGGACTCATTAGTAAACATATTATCACTACAAGAAAATTTTCATATAATAACACACATTTTATAGTGATACTATACATGTCACTAAAAATTACTTTTACCCACACAATAAGTATAATATATGTTGGTATATTATTAAAAGTGTGAATATAAACTATAGTGAGACACAAAATATGTTGTTAAATTTTATTTAAAATCAATACTAAAATTGTGTGTAACTATATATTAAATAGACATATACTTACATATATTGTACCTATAGTGACATTTTTTGTATGTCACTATATGTAACATTTCTTGTAGCGAGTTTATAACAATAATAATAATATATAAAGCAATATTTCTTTTACTAATTAAAGAGGTGAGAAAGGCAACAAAAGATGATTTAGTAATGCTGTATACCTGTCTTCTAACCATGCATTGCTGTAGACATCTCCCAAACAAGTAGTGTACTCTGGTGGTGGAAAGGGGTAGTGATGAGGACAGTAATATGCATAACTATCCTCACTTGCGTTCGAAGCTGTGGTCGCATATATGTTTATGTCATTTGGAAGAATCCCATCAAACATGCTCCCAGATTCACATGCTTCCAAGTATATCACCTTTTTTTTTATTAATGAAATAATAATGCATCAATTTAAATTACTTAAATAAAACAAGAATAAATTATAATCCGAGGCCATAATAAAAGGGAAAAAAATCAACTTCTCTTCTTTTATTTGCTCTCCATGAGTAAGCTCATGTTTGCAGATGATAGCACAACAGAAGCAGAAGGGATTGGTAGAGTCATGATTCAAAGAAAAGATGGAAAATCCTCTTACATTTCTGATGTACATTATGTCCCAAGACTCCCAACCATAAAAAATAAATAAATATAAATATATATAATCTACTTAGGCTTGGGCAGCTAATGAAAAAGGGTTTTATGATGACCATGGAACAAAATCATGAGAATATATGATAAGAAGAGAAGACTGATATTGAAGGCTCTTTAAAAAAAATAGAAACTTCAAAATTGGAATTCAACTTTGCAAATATCAACAATGTTTGGCAGTGACGGTTATTAATGATAGTTGTTTATGGCACAAAAGGTTCATACATTTGAACTTTAGAAGCTAGAACATGTTGAGAGATTAAAAAAAATGGCACTTGGTTTGCTCAAGATAAAGCAACCTGATGAGTTATATGACGGGCATGGTTTTAAATTGCGGACCGCAACACGTGTTGCGGCCGCAATATTGCTGTTGCGGCCTTGTCCGCAACGGTATCGGACCGCAATTGCGATGATACTGGAAATCACACATTTTTCTGCAACGTAACGGTGTTGCGTCCGCAACACATCTGCAATGTACCGTAATACATCTGCAATACGATAAATTGATACTATAATTTTAAAATAAATTAAATTATTCATTAAAATAATAGAATATTAAAAAAAAAGGAATTAAAATGTATAAATCCTTAAAAATAAAATATATATTGATAATTATAAATTTTTTATATTTAGTGAAAATAATTAATAATCTCACACCGCAACAGCCGCAATCCGCATCGCAATACCCGCAATACCCGCAACCGCAGTAACTGCAACCGCGACCGCAACCGCGACCGCAACCGCGACCGCAATACCACAATTTAAAACCATGACGACGGGTGCTATGTGTCAAAGCAACCTAGAAAGTCATTAGAGAACTCAAATTCCAACCAAGTCTATGGCAACGCTAAGAAGTGGAATATTTTGATGTATTTGGAGGTAATCATTATTTTGTGTCCTTTATAGATGATTACATCAGGAAGAGTGCAGTGTTTGAGGTGTTTCAATAATTCACAGTGATGGGTAATTCACAATAGTTTGAAGCCTAGTGTGAGAAAAAGGGAACAATTCATGAATTCACCCTCCCTATACTCAGCTCAATATAACAGCAAAAGAAGAAACACTACATTGAATTTGACTAGGAACATGATTAGAATCATGAGAATGCCAAAATACTATTGTGGGGGAGAATCAGTATATTTTATATTTGAATACAACAACTCAATTGTTGAATTTATTAATTTGGTATCAGATAGTGCAAGTACGAAAGTTTGACATTTGTTGTCAAATCTTGTCCCATTGTAAAAGTTTTGGTTATTCCAAAACACTATGAGTGACACAGTTAATTTTGTCGTTCATGCATACATATATGTAAACATAATTAAGCACAATACTCATGCAAAACTCACCATCTTTTTGTAGGATTTAGCGTCATGTTTCTTCTTCAACACATTCACAAAATCGTTGGCCGTGATATATTCCCCGACTGGCATGCCTGATCAGATAATATTTACTAAATTAAATATTTTGATTTCAAAAATGAATCAACATATTGTGTTTTTATCACCAATGTATGCTTTACACATCAAGTGACACGAAAAATTGCAAGGTACTGAGTTACTTACTGAGGATACCGTTAGAGCCATGGTCAACAAAATAAATGAAAATGGTGTCATTAGGACCACTGTTCACAACCTTGCCACTACCTCCTGAGATTGCACTTTTATTACCACTAATCACAGCGTAAAAGTTTTCTGTAGTCGTATCATTTCCAGTGTAATCCTAAAGAAATAAATTACTTTTTCACATTAAAATGACAATTAATTGGTAATCTATTAGATACATGAATTATGAATTGGACTTTATATATTATTAGTTCAGTTTAGATTTTGTTTGATTTTGGTGTTCACTTTTTTTCTATGGAGATTTAATTTTTTATTTTTAAAATTAAGTAAATTTGGTTGTCATCTGTTTATCTTTCTTATATCTACAGTGAATGTTTATAATTGATTTGATATATGAATTAATTTTAAAATTTGAAAGCCAAAACTTTTGTAAGAGCATGAAAGAAATTTAAAAGATTTTATAACATGTAAATTAGGATTTAAAAGGGGAAATTTTTGAAAGAAAAAAAAATCAATATATCAATGTATTGGTTTGTGAGTTTTGAACAAAAGAAAATGATTTAATTTATCAAACAATTAAGTAAAATAAAAGGAAAATTACTTATTTTAAAGAAACTAAATTTACTTAATTTCATAAATAGACTTAATTAACTAGTAAACTTTAAAGACCAAAATTACATGTAAATATTATTAGGAGTTGATATAATACCTTTATGAATTTGAATAGTCGAATTTGCTGTTCCTTAGTTTTATAATAAAAATATTATAAGGAATTAGAGGTTTTTCTTTTGTCTTGAAGAAATAAATTTAGAATTTTTCCCCATTTTTAAAATTAATTTGTCCCTGTAATTTAAAAATATTAAAAAAAAATAGTTTCTAAAGTTGATATTTCACACCCTATACACAGTGACCAACGTTAATATAAGAACTAAAATAAATGTATTATATGTTAACGTAAATGTAATAAATGTAATATATTAACGTAAGTGTAATATATAAGATCTAAAATTTGAAAACTTATCACGGATAAAAAGTATCATTAACCCATATTTAAGAATATTACTCTTTTAATTCTTATACACTACTATCTTGTTACATGCCACTTGCGAATTTTTCATAAAAATTCGCAGGAAAGGCTGTTCCTATAATGAAAAATTCGCAGGAAACGTTGTTCCTACAAATTTTTCTGTGAAATTTTATCTGCTGGTAATAATATAATTTTGTGAATTTTAAAATTCGCAAGAAATTTTCCAACGAAAAAATTCGCAAGAAAGTTTCCTGCGAATTTTTTCGCAAAAAATTCTGTAGAAATATTTTTTACGAAAAAAATTAAAAAAAATTACTATAAATTCTTAAAGACTAAGATTGTAGATTATAAGCCTAACACTCAACCATACAAATCAACTTATAAGGTAAGTGTTGTCCCAACTTATATACTCTTTAATTGTTTTATTTTTAATCAATGTGGGACTTGAAGTTTTTTTAAAATATTAAACTTATAAATTTAAATATATTTTTTTTCTTGTAGATTAAATTTTGTAGGAAAATCCGCAGGAAAATTTACCTGCAAAATTTTTCTACTATTTAATAAACATTACTTGCAAATTTATTTTTGCAAGAAACAAAATCAAATTCTTATAATATTTTTTGCAAATTTTTACCATGGAAAAAATTTCTATGATCATTAAAATTGTAACAAAATTTGCAAAAATTTCTTGTAAATTTTTTTTGTAAAAAAATTTGTAAGAAATATCTGCAAATTATTTTTCGCAAATAAATTCGTAAAAAAAAAATTTGCGAAATTATTATTGCAGGAAAATTCGCAACAAATTTCTACAAAATATTTTTTGTAGGAAAATTCGCAGGAAAATGACATTTTTGTGATAGTTTCATTAATCAATATTTATAATATATATATATACATATATATATATATATATATATATATATATATGAGGTCTCTTAGATCATATATGTCAAATTTTGTTAAAATTGAACAACAACTTGAAGGTAATCAAAGTGTTCATATTTTAGTATATTTTGAAATGTATATATTACGTCAATTTTGTTTTATGAGAATGAAATATCAAATCATCTTAGATTAATATAAAATTTGATATATATAATCTAAGAGATATGAACTTTCAATCTAACGGTTGGATTTACAAAATTCACATTTAATATAAAGTTATTGAGCGGTGTAACACTTAGTTAAAGTTACACCGGTGTCGTTTGAACCCTCCTCTATATATATATATATATATAAATTTTACCTTTTAGTTCTTAGAATTAAAAATGCTTTATTTTAAGCTTTTATACATAATTTTCTATTTCTTTTTAATTCGTATAATTTTATGAATTTTACTTTTTAATCTTTATAGTAATAGAAGATAGGACTATAAGAAAACGAAAATAGTATGTATAAAGATTAAAATATGATTTTTTTTAAAAAAATTTATTTTGTAATTATCGTGAATATAAATATTTTAGGAAAAAAGAGAAACTTCCAATGTTATTCTCAAATAGGATGCGTTAAAATACCATTTGTACATGAAGTGTGAGCGAAAGTATTATTTAATTTACTCCTAAAATAAAATAATCTAGCATTGGGAGGGAGTTATATTCCTAGTTATTGTTAAAAAAAATAATAATAATAATAAATAAAAAATAAAATTAGAGATGCATATACCTTGGGAATTCCTTTGTAGACATTTGGACCATTTGGTTTGTTGATTATAGTGCCAGGTCTTGGGTTTTGGGGATTGAAGGCAATGTCATCATACATGAAAACAATGATATTTTCATCTTTAAGACCACCATTCTTTAGTAATTGGTATGCATGGCAAACATCAGCTTGGTGCCTATAATTCTGATAGCCATATGAACCTGCTACAAGAAGGGCCCATTTCTTTTCTGTTGCATTCTCACCATGATCATGTAGCACAGGTACACCCTCCAACACACTCATTGAAAAACTCATCCACACTGAGGCCACCAATGAAACCCAGTTTCTAATATTCACCTTCATCCTGTGTACAATATGTGAAAAGTCACAATCAAACTATGCCTATGTTAAGCAAGATTAACGCATGACACCAATTCAACAATACATATATATAGACAACTCAGTTTCTCAAAATATTCATTGATTATATTAGGGTGTGTTTTTTTCGTTTGAACAAACTTTTTCACTTTTCAAGACAAACCCATAAAAGTAAGGGTATTGTTGGATTGAAGTTTAGTTTGAAGTAACAGGAAAACAAACGTACACTTAATGATAGAATAATGTTAACAGCATTTTCTCTAATGCTTTCTTTGTTATATATAGGAAAAAAAAATTTATTAAAAATCACAAATTCTGAGTGTTACATCTTATTTAATGAGTTTCTAATTTAATAAAAGGATTTAATATATTTTGTGAATTTCAGTCAATAATAAAAAAAATATTAATTAAAAATAAAATATATAGTAGAGAAAATGTCATTAGCATAATGTTTTAGTGCACTTAAGACATTTATTAAGAAATAAATACTATTTTAATCAATAAATTGTTATTATAAATGCATAAAAATAAAAGCAAACCATTAAGCATTAAGTTCAAATTTTATTCTCATTAATAAATCAATAAAACAGAAAAATCATTAAATTTAGTTATAAGTAACTAAAATTATGTAATAGTGTATGAAATAATAATCCTTGATTAATAGTAATAACTGCTTAATATACATTTACTTGTTTTATATAGTCAACTCTTTTTAATGTACTTATAATGTGTAACTGTTTGTTGATTAGGATATGACATGAGATGAGTATGCTCAAATAACAAAAATATATATATAAAAATTAAAGTAAATAAGTTTTAACTTAATTATTTAAAATTTTCAATTTAAAAATATATTTGTAACTATAATATAAAAGTATTTTTATTTATGTAGTTAATTTTCTTAAAATTATACGAAAGTTTTTAAATTATAATTATTATTCAAATATTTTCTTTAAAGTTGTTATAATAATAACATTTTATTTTAATATTTTAGGTAATAATAAAATTTAAATTTACATGTCAAAATTATTAAAATTATATATAAATAAAATGTAGAAAATAATCATTCTATTCATTTTCATGAATAATTTAATATGTTTTATTATGGATATTTTCTTTTATCATTGCTTGCCCGTGATGGTACATTAGTGCACATGAGATACGCATGATTTATCCCTTTTATATTAGTTTTTCTTTTTTAATTTTAAATTCTAAATTTTAATAATAATAGAATAAACTACTTTTTATCATATAAATTAAAAAAATATTCACATATTTAAAAATATATTTGTTAACTTCTAAAAAATTAAATTTATTATTAACCTAGTCGTTAATGTAAAATTGATTAATAAATCAAATCAAACTTTTAAAGAAGTTAAATTTATAAAAAAATCTATAATGAATAACACATAAGACTTAACTTTAATTAATTTTATAAAACATATTCAACTTATAAATTAAAAGTTTGACTAACCTATTTTTATCCTTAAATTTTTACATTAATAAATTCATATATATATATATATATATATATGGGGAATGCTAGTATACTCTCACCTATTTTTTAGTGGGAGTATGTTAGCAACCTACACCAAAATTTTAGGACAAAAAAATCACTCATTTCTTTTGATTTAGTTAATTCGTACAAAGGATATTATAATAATTTAATTTAATTTTAAAAGAAAATAAAATATTTTCTCTCTCTTATTAACTTCATTCACTAAGCATTTCATGAGAGATGAGAGAGAAATGAGTTAAAGAAAGAATTTAATAAGAGAGAAATAAATAAGTTAGAGAAAGAATTTAATAGGAAAGAGAAATGGGTTGGAGAAGGAATTTAATATGAGAGAGAAATGACTTAGTGAAAGAAATTAATAAGAGAGAGAAAATATTTAATTTTCATTTAAAATTAAATTAAATTACTATAATATCCTTTATACAAATTAACGAAATCAAAAGAAATTGGTAGTTTTCTTATCCTAAAATTTTTGTGTAAGTTGCTAACATATTCCCACTAAAAAATAGGTAGGAGTATATTAGCATTCCCCATATATATATATATATATATATATATATAAACAAGGAGATGAGCTAATCTTTTCGTATTATTTTCTAACTCAACTCTTCTCTTAAGATTAACAAAAAAAAACTAAATCAATAGGATGAGATAAAAGATATGATAACACTATCATATCTTATTGACGCAACAAATAATGATTATTGATGAGATTTTGAAGCAAACACCCCAACTCATTGTAGTATAGAAATTAATACAGATTTTCAAATTTCGAGATCTTGGAAGATACTTATAATTTCTACTATCCTAGTAAAAGCTTGAAATTATAAAAGAAAACAAGCAAAGTAATAGTAAAGTTGAGAGATAACAATATGTAAATCTATTGGGATTGAGATTCACCTCTCTCACCCTTATGTTCTCCAAAGACCACATACATATGATTTCTATTATCCTATGTTATTGAGTTCATTAGTATCATTCCTAATCAATTTCTTGCATTTAAAAATTCTAAGGAGTCAAACACAATAAGCGATTCCTCTATTCACCCAATTAGAAACCTTGCATTAAGTTTGAGAACTCGTTCAACTAACAATTCCAAATCCATTCTAGGCATTTAGTGTTATTAGGTAATTTGATTCAAAACAAGATTAAAAAATATTTTCCAACCAAAATTCAAATCAAAGACCGAAGATGAGCGATCAAGTTAATTACCTTAGTATTAAGAACTAAATCAAAATCACTAACAACAAATAATAAATAATCATATATATATATATATAATCAAAAGGTGTACACAAGAGTTTAATGGATTACATTTAACCTCAACAAAAAGAAAAGATCAGCCACTCATGTTGAGAGAGCTAATCCAAAATATATGGAGAAAGTGTAGAAGAAAGAAAGATCCTAGAACCCTCGTTCTCATCTGGTTCTTAAACTCCTTACTTGTTCTCTATTTTTGCACAAGTCCTTATGATTTTCTCCTTTGTTTTTCCCTCCTAAAATAAAATAAAGTATGGAAGAGAAAGAAGAAAACCACTCCATCATTTCCAAACGGTTAAGCAATTTGGAGAATTCTTCATGGTGAAGGAACTCCATCAACTGAGCCCTTAAGAATCCACTAAGCCCTTGGTAACCCAAAATTTTGCACCCTTTTATAGCCAATCCACTCAACCTTGATGAAAGACCCTTGGCCAAAGAACCTACTACGTACTAGGGCTATGGCAAGGAGGATTCATGAAGAATGGGCCAACATGGAGGTTGATAGGCCCAAGCTTCTATTTTCTTAGTTTATTTCTTAGAGTCTACTCTTTGTTTAGATTCATATTTTAGGCCTCTAGAGTTTGTGGGCCTTGCGCTTATTGGGCTTATTTTTAGGTTTAATGGGCCTAAGGTATTATATAGTCAACATTGGACTTGTTTGCTTTATCTTTTTATTTTAGAAATTATTGTATAGGTATTTTTGGCTTTGTATATAATGACCATGTAGCATAGTGCTTAGAGGAGTTTATGGAAGATACATGTTACTTGCAATTTAATTTAAGGCACATTTAGAGTGAATTAGGAAGCAATATGCACATAGATCACATGGAGAGCCTAATTAAACTCAAATGCACCTTAAATTAAATGTGAGTGCATGCATCTAGAGGCAATGGGCGTATGGAACATGGTGTGACCGGCCAAGCAACTTGAATTTCAAATTCAAATTCAAATTGTGGGGCCTAGCTTCCTAAGCAAGCCATTAGTCACCTAAACCTCTATATAAGCTCTTCTTCCTGCACTTTTTATTCACTTTTGAGAATTATGAAAGCATGTTTCTGCAGAATTCTCTCTTCCAAAAGTCCCAAAGTTCTTAGGAGAATTTACTCCTTGAAGACTCCAACAAGGAAACCTTCCTTGTGGAGTTTGTTCATTTTCTTACTTCACTTTCTTAGGGCCAAGTTCTGTGCCAATTCCTACTTCTTTTCCATTGTTTTTTTAGTTCAAATTGTTCATCACGAGTGGCTAGGAGTTAAATCTTGGACGAAGCTATTCTTGTGGAGGATTGTTCATTATTGTCTCCAAGGATTGTATCAAACCATTTCCAAACAGTTGAGTGGTTTGGCCTCTACTTCAAATCTTGTTCTCTATCTCTTAATGGTTCAACCCTTTGGAAATGGCTCAAGGCCCTTTCAAAAGAGCTTAGCCCTATTCAGAACACCTACGCAGATTCTTTTAGACTTTGGATCTTCATTGTATCCTACAAGAAATAAAACAAGAGTTTAAGTAAAATTTTCATCAATTTTTTACAAACTAACTAATTTATACAACTTTTTGAATTTTTTAATAGTTTAAGGGTAAAACACAAATGTCTTTCAAAAATACTTAAATAAGCGTCAAAAGAGTTAAGTCATTATGGTAAAATTGACACTTAAGAAGTAAAGATAAACACTAGAAGGGGGTTGAATAGTGTGTGTCAAAAACTCGCACTTTTTACATAGTGAAGTAGTAACGCTTAGTTAAATAGAGTGTAAAGAGAAGTCAGATGGAACACTAGGTGCTTTTATACTAGTTTGTCTCAACTACCGAGACTATGTCCAGTTCTCAATCAAACTAGATTAAGTTCCACTATCTTTCAACAAAGATATAAGTATTCTTTTGACAAACCACTTTTGGCTTAACCCTAAGTATTCTTTGACTTATCTCTTCAAGCAACTACCCAAGTATTCTTTTCACAACAAGTCTCTCTCTGAACTTAACAACCAAGTATCCTTTCAAACAAGTCTCTTCAGGCTCAACAACCAAGTATTCTTTCGAACAAGCCTCTACAGGCTCAACAACCAAGTACTCTTTCGAATAAGCCTCTATAGGACCAACAACCAAGCATTGTTTTACAAACAAGCCTTTCCAGACTCATCCTTATAACAATGGTTATGAAGGTTACATGAATGTTGTTTTAATCTCACTTAGACATTATACAACCAATATAATGTAATAAGCTTTTATAAGAAAGAATGAAGATTATACACAAGTATAATTTGTAGAGAATATATGTTTTTGTACAAGTGTATCTATGTGTTTTTTTTTTAGCTTTAAATCTTCTTATATAGTAGCTTGAAGAAGATGATCGTTGCAACACTAAGTCAAGCTCACAAGTTTGTTTCATCTATCTTCAACGTCT